GGCACTTGGGCTAATGTCGGTATCCTACCAACTTCACCAATTGTGGTGCTCTTTTACTTGCTGGTAATCCTGCACCGACTGGGCCAATTGTCAAGCTAGGGCTGGGTCTGGAACTCACAGACCCCTCAAGCCTGTTCCAGACTGGGTCACAAACCCTTCACATGCCAGGCTGGGTCACCAGACTCTTTACACGCAGGTCTATAAGCTAGCTAACCAGCAAACAGGTACTTGGAAGCCACAGGTTGGAAAGCATGGCTGCTCCTGTGGTGGTGGCTGCATGAGGCAGTCAACACCAGCCAAGGTGGTGGCACCACACAGGCGTACTAACTCCACCCACACACAACCTATTCACAGCAAATGTTCTGCAAGATTCTAAACATCTGAGGGGCCCTGACCATTTTCCTATATTTTCCCAACAATCCACCCCTTCAGAGTCCCTCAACGTATAATCTACGCGTTCTGAAACTTCCACAAAGTTCCCTTAGCAAGGATAGATGACCCTTACATTCACACATTACACATTCCATCCCAGTCCCAAAAGTCTTAGCTTGTTGCAGCACCAACTCAAATGTCCAAAGTCTCCTCTGAGACCAAATGCAAAAGTCCTTCCAGCTGTGAACATGTAAAAGAGTCAAAAACACTTCCAAGATACAATGGGACAGATATTGGGTACAAATTCCCATTCCAGAAGGGAGGAATAGAAAGGAAAAACAGGCCTCAAACAAATCTAAAACCCAAACAGGGCAAACGTTAAACACACTGGGGCACCGGAAACCCTAAAGCGTTGGGCAACCTCGCTCCTACAGCTCCACCAAGTGCAGACCATTGACCTGCCTGGTGCGTGCAGCTTTCCTAAGCTGGAGCTACATGCTGCCAGCAGCCCCATGGTTCAGGGCTCCTGGTGGCAGTCCCGCCATCCTGGCTCCACTAGGCATTTCCTCAGTGGGGGTTCTCTGTGAGGGTTCTCTGTGGGGGCTCCGACCCCACTTTTCTGCTTCACATTGCTCCATAGATGACCTCCACAGTGGCTCCACCCCTGCAGCAGGTCTCTGCCTGAGTGCCCTGACTTTTTCATACATCTTCCAAAATCTAGGTGGAGGCTGCCATGCCTTCACTGCTCTCACATACTGCTGGCCTGAAAACTTAAGACAACGTGAATGCCACCAAAGTTTTTGGCTTTTTTTCGTCAGAGGTGCTGAGGCAGGATTACTCTAGCTGGAGCAGCTGGGATGCAGGGAGCAGTTTGCCGAGGGCAATGACACCTCAGGTCTGCCCTCTGGAAAAACTCAGTCCTTCTAGGATGAGAGGGGCACTCTCCCAAACTTCTCAAATGCCCTCAGGGCCTGTGATGGATGGAGCACCCATCCAGACTTCTCAAGTGCCTTTAGGATATTTTCCCATTGTCCTGGTTTTTAGTATCTGGCTGCGTCACCTCCAAGACAATGTCTTTAGCAAACAGTTTATCTGCTTCACCCTTGTGTTTTTCTCCTGCTCTCCACTTCTCTACCACATGGCCAGGCTGCAAATTTCCCAAATCTTTATGCTCCGCTTTTACATTCTGGCTTTTGAATTACTTCAATCAGTTCAGCTTACAACCGCTACTCACTCAGTTTCAGGCAGTTTTTTGCAGCATTCTCCCACTGTTCAAACAGCTGCATTTGTCCAGTCCATCAAGGAATGGCTGTACTGTCCCTGTGCATATCTGTGGCTCTTTCTGCAGCTGCTGCCTCAGAGACAGGCACATAGTAATGGCGACTAACTTTTCCACCTTTCACCAGGTGAAAACATACTTGAAATTCTGCAGTGGCACCCATCCTTGGGTCATCTGTCCATCTGCATGTGGCACTCTTTTCTCAGGTTTTATAGCACCATTGGGTTTAAGTGGCACCCTCCGAGCCTTTTGCCTTCAGACAAACACAACATGCATTTACTACATAGTCTCTAGAGCACGTTACACCATCCAACCCTAGGTATCATAGTTGCAGCCACCAGGGGCTCTCACTGTTTCTGCTGCTTTACTATTTAAATTTCTCATACACAGGTCATGCCTGGAGATGCATGGTTTTCCCCAACTCACCACTGGGTTGGTCGTCTTCCCTGGTGTGAAAAGCAGGGATGGCCAGTCGCTGCATGTTATCCTCTAAGATAATCATCCTTGCTTCCAGTGACTCTGCTTTCTGCTGCAAATCTCGATCAGTTTGCAGTGTTAGGATCAGCAGCCAGGCTCTGGTCAGCAGAAAAGTAGCCACTAGGCACCACATGCTCAAGGACAGCCACATTTCCTCCTTCTTCCAAGGGTTTTTGGCTCCTGTACCTGCTCAGAATCCTGTTACAGACTATGCTAATTGTGGCATAATCCTGCCAATGACGCCGATTTGTCCAGCTAGGCTGCAGCTAATGTCTCGAATCCTGCTCACAGTGCCAATTGTCTAGCTCTTAATCCTGTTCATGATGCCAACTGTAAAG